CACTTCATTAGCAGGATTTCAGGGTGAAATAATACAGTTTGTTCCTGGCTCTTATGTGCGCAAATACATGGAAAGACCATATAAATGAAAGGGGTTTTAATGAGTTTCCAACGGGTTAAATCTTGTTTGTGCTGTAGCACGGATTACTTCCAGGTTCATTTCAGCAGACTGAATATAAGCACGGGGTTTTTGTGTGTTTGTGTGCATATACTATGCTCCTATTTAACTGAATTACTTTCGTCTCCAGAAGAAGCTAGCATAGTAGGAGAAAACGAAACCTATGCTAGAGCTTTGCTTTACTGGAATAGAGCAGCTTCTCAAGGTATGTCCATACCTCACAATTCCAATTAGTGTATTTTTAGTAAAGCCACTTATGTTTGATTTCATGATTTTTATGAAACAGGGAAGAAGGGGAAGGTTATCACCTTCTGTTCAATGCGAGCTCTATTCCATATAGGGCAGTTGCTGTTCACTGTTAGCTGTAATGTCATTGCAATGTGCTTGTAGTTCTGAGTTGTTCTGAGATCCTGAAGATTAAAAGGACTAACCCAAGTGTAGGGTGTGTTTCTTTTGTCATTCCATAAGGAATTAGAGCAGTGTAAAATAACTTTAGAAATGTTTACACTGACTTTTCTATAAATAAATCCACTTGGAAAAATAGTTACAAAGGATCCTTTAGTATTTTGGTTCTTGTCATCGTTTACAAGAAGTGCAATTTCCCATTCAAAGCAGGCAAAGCTCAGTGGTGAATGCAGTCTTGATGTTCGATCAGCCCAAGTTTAAACTCTGGTGTTTGTGATCCTATCCTAAAATAAGCAAAACTAAATTTAATCATTAAATATCTCTGTGTGAGGTCTCTAACCTTCGTACGGGTGCATCTACATTAATGTCTGTCTGCTGGCTTTTTACTTAAAAGCAAGTGTATGGACCCTAAGAGTTTCTCTCAAAGTTATCAGACCTACTTGATTTTCACTAGGATGTTAGAAATAAAGAGGATGAAATGGTTATGTATTCAGTTACCAGATGATGATGAGATACTCTGTTTTCAAGTTTTCAGTGTCTTTGTTTTAAGAACAAGCTGAAGCCCTTAATGGCTGTATAACAAACAAAAAGTCACTTCTCCGTATAAGTGACTATGAACAACATGATACAGCTTTTCAACTGATGCCACTAAACAGCAATAAAATTGTTGGTAGGGTTAAACCACACATACATATGGGGGGAAAAAAAAAAAAACCCAAACCAAACGAGTGGTTTATGTGAGAGAGTGAAAGAGGGAAACAGCTTGTGCAAAAAAGAGGGAATTGTGCAAACTGGAAAGTAATACTAAAGCCCTAAGTGCATTTTCATGTGAAGCTAAAAGGCTTTCTTTGCTTAGATATTTAATCTTTTTTATTGTTGTTTCTTGATTTATAGGCTGTACTGTTGCAAGGATTAAACTTGGAGATTACCATTTTTATGGGTTTGGTACTGATGTTGACTATGAAACTGCATTTATTCACTATCGACTCGCAGCAGAGCAACAGCACAGTGCCCAAGCAATGTTTAATCTGGGCTACATGTACGAGAATGGATTGGGCGTCAAGCAGGTGAGTAAGCTGTAGGCTGATAGTGCTAATATTAGATGAAGTCCATAACCACTGCTGGGCTTTGGGCACTGTGTAAGTACTTAGCAGGAATTAGCATGTCTCCCAAGACATTCCCCAATAGCAAATGGGTAAGTATATCCACTTCACACCTACCTGTGTGGAGAAGTGAGGCAGAGACAGAAAACAAAACCTGTGTCCAAAAAAGTGAAGATTGGCAAAAAGAGTGCCATATGCTTGAGTAATGCTTTCAAGACTTTGAAGAGAAATGAAATGAATGCAAATCAATTCCAGGTTCAGAATGTATTAGCAGAAGATGTTCTCATTCTCTGAGGCACTGGGTAATTTGGTTTATATATCATGGCATTTTGAAAACAAGTTCCGTGCATCTTCAAGTAATAAACCATAAACACCAACAATAGTACGATTATTAGCTATGTTTTTTCAAATTAGGCTAGGCCACAATTTGCTTTACAAACTCCATTGGTTGAAAGAAGGCAGTATATCTGGTTTTCTTAGGAAGCCTGTGGTGTATTGCTGTCCATGAGTTAGCTGAAATGTGAGGAATCCAGAACAAGGTGTTCTTGTATGTGTCAAAATAATGTGATTAATTGCATACTAATTTTGAGCAGTCTACCTTACCTTAATAATTAATTAATGCAATTTCATGTGTGAATTTCATCATATCTTCAGAGTTACCTGAAATTGCAAGAAATGGTTTCATTATCCTTATTTTCAGTGAGTTTCAACATTAGTTTTTTTTGTCTGGGTATGCACCTTTTAATTTTTCAGTTGGTCTATTAAAAACCAATTTTTGCTTCTTTTCCCCTAAACTCTTGGCAAAAGGTCAGAACAGTGAAGGGCAAGTCTTAGGCCAATATTGTTACCTTAGCAGCAGCAAGCAATCAACATTGAAAAAGAGCTTTCTGGCCTAGCTGCAGAAGTGACAATACAGTACGCAAACAGCATTATTTCTAAAGCTTACCTTCAAATTTTATTGTAGGACTCTTTTCTCTTTAACTGAGTCCTCAAAGCTAGTTAACTTCTGAAAATGAGCCTGCAGCTAAAAGCTACAGTGCTAAAGTTGGAAGGTTTTCTTCTTAAAAATAAAAAAACCCTTTCAGATGTGGACTTCTTGTTTCTTTTGCTTCTGCCTTGAAAACAACCCAATTCAGAGCACGTAAGAAAAACTTCCAGTACGTTATTACATCATGTTCTGCATAACTGCTAAGAATTAGACAAAAATTACTCCTAATGCGATCATTCACACAGAGAATTCTCTAGCCTGAAGCAGAGATGGCTACACATAGATAGCTGACATGAGTGCAGAGGGGCTCACGATGAGCATACACAGCCTTGCTGTATGCAGATGAATAATAGTTTCCTCTCATACGGATGTGCTAGGGAAGGAAGAGTTGAACCGCAAGGGAAACGGAGACAGTTAATATAGATACGGAAAAGAAGCACTGAGAATGTCTAAGCAAGGAAATTCCATCTATAAAAGCAGTCTTAAGAACTCTTGATTTATAATGTCTTTTCTTGCTTTGTCCTAAAACCTCAGAACTGTAAGATGAGAGGATGGACATTCAGGACTGACTAGATAAGACTAAAATGAAGCTGGGCTAGGATATTCTGAAAAAGCCTGTGACTGAGTTCTGAATGAAGCAAAATATTACTTGGCTTTCCTTTCCTGCAATGGAAACTACTGAATTTTGAGTAACTCTGAAAATAGCTGACAGTTAAAGTCATGTTTCCTGATGGAGCAGGTGATGTCTACCACCTGAGGCTGTTCTTACTGTAGAGGCCTGTGGAAAGGACATACTAAGGTTTTAGCACTGCATTATCAAAAAAATTGGGAATTTAGTCTGTTGAAAAGAGAGTTGTTTTGGTTTTTTTTTTAAACTCCCTTTCCACCTATGTCCAGGCTATTAAGACTGCAAGCACTGCAAAGGCAGGGAGAATGAATCAAGAAGGTGGCCTGCACAACTTCAGTTCAGGTCACTGTTGAGTCTGGATAATCATGAATAAGTACAGTATTTCTTACAGTTTGGTTTTATGGGTTTTTTTCCCCTCTCAAACAGGTTTTGCCTTACTTTCTTTTCAGTTATTGAATAAATAGTCTTTCTTACATACAGGATTCTGTGCTATCCTTCCTGTACATAGATGGTTTTCAGACTCATGCCAAGTCAGTGCCAAATATTAAGCCCCTTCAGAAATATTTCACTGTTACACACTTAATAGATTTCATATTGTCCAATTCCTGAGCAATGAGAAATTCCTCTCAAATGTGAGAATGAGGACTGTTTCCATATACTGCTCAAAATAAGAATGAGTTAATTTTCTCATGGTCTTCTGTTAAGATTTGGCATGGTATTTTAGTGCTATTTGTGTGTTAAGGCTCAAACTCCTACAGTTCTCACTTGTCTGTCAAGTGAGAGTGAAGAATGTGTAAGCAGAATGAAGTGCTTGCAAATCAGAAATGAGAATAAGCCATGATTTAGGATCTGCTTCTACACTGATACTAGCACAGTATAAAGGAGGTAAGGAAACAAATACTTACACAAAAGGCAGGCTTTTCAGGGAGTATTCAGAGTTGTTCTACTGAATTCAAATACTAAAATTTGAGCTAGTACATGTGATTCACATAAAGTGTTGATTTTCATACTGTTATTTCAATGTGTGTTATGGAACTAAGCTTTGCTGTATCAATGAGCAGAAAATCTTTACTATCAGGATAAAGTTATAAAATGAACATATGAAGTCCTGGAGATTTCTCTTATTTCACGTGTCTGACTCGGAACACGTGCAGAGGTTAAGTTAGACAGGCCTGTCTGCATCACTGAGTGAACATAGGCAGTTTGTATCCAAGCATCCTAACGTCGCACAGTGCGTATCTGATGCAGAATGAAAAAAACCCCAAACAAGTGAGGGAAGTTAAACTATTTAGCTACAAGTATCCTCTGTTCTTGTTTCTTGCTGATTTTTTTTTTTTTAGTCTTTTATGACATGGCGTTGGAGATGTTAGAGTGTACTAAAGTTATCTATGTGCCTTAATTTACAGTGCATGGGTTGAATATGTTAATCCAAATCTCTTTGTGAGCTTTGATTCTAGCATCAGTTGTGATAGCTTCATCTTCGGATCAAAACGTCCCTTTACTTTTCTGTTCGAAGGTGAACATAGACAAAAAGGGGAAGTTTTACTTAATGATTTTTGTTTAACTTGACCAAAAACCTTGTATTTAAATGGCAGTGTACAATGCTTACAGAAAAAGCTCTTCATTTTATGAGTTACTTTTTCAAGTTCTTCAAAATTGAGCTTTGTATTTTCTTAACTTCAGGACATTCATCTTGCAAAGCGATTCTATGACATGGCAGCTGAAGCAAGCCCAGATGCTCAGGTTCCAGTCTTCCTAGCACTTTGCAAACTTCGAGTGATTTATTTCTTGCAGTATGTACAAGAGATCAATGTAAGTAATGCAGAATTACAAAGACAACCAACAGTTGTACTTTTCCATTTTTAAAAAGAGGCTTGAGTTGTAATCTTAAGTAGAAAACTTACTTGAGCCTTCTGAAAACTTAGGATAGAGCTAGTTTGTGTTGTTGTGTCTTCAGAAAGATACTGAAGCTGTGAGTCGTATCTTGTTTGTACGTTGTGTGAAACTGAGATGTGCACAGCCAGTGCTCTTCTGTGCTGTTCTTCCCTTGAAGAGAATCTCCCTAACCTCTTTGACTGTTCTTATCCATGATAATCTGCTATCAGAGTTAAGCAGAAGATTACAGTGACATAATCCCTGTTCAGGGAAAAAAAAAAACAACTTTTCTGTAGCCCTATTCTCACGCCATTTTATACTCAGCTGAAACGATCCCACTTGAGTTGTGTTTTTCTGTGGGAAAAAAAACCATTATTAGATAGTTCAGCTATTGTGCAGAAAAACATATTTGCTTGGAATTTAGGTGACTACTTTCCATATATTGTCTGAAATATTTCTCAGTATTCTGCCATCTTACTGCCTTTTGGATTATTTAACAACTTCTGTACCATTTCAATTTCTTATCACTTAAAGCAAACACAAGTTCAGGCAATCCAGCTAAGTTTGACAAAATTGAAGTCTTGAGACTGGGGACTTTGAGGAGTGGACAGTCAAAACACTCTAAATCAGTTGAGCTAATACCCACGTAACACTCACAGAAGCTAGCATGAAGAACACGGATGTTGCAATTTTTAAGTCTGCTGATGCTGGCTTAAACTGACAGTGACGGTCGTATCATCAGTTAGAGTAGTGAAGCATAAAGTTTGTATTGGCTAGTGCTTAGGCAAATGAAACTTCAATCAAAACTAACAGTAAGTCACTTTAACTTCCCTGTACCTTATCTGCATGAATCTCAGCACTGTACTGTGTAAGTATCCAGAGACTTCGTGTTCTGTCACTCGCAGTAGTTGGCTGATGGCTTCCAGTTTGGCTGGACCGATCAGTTCACCGCTTCACAGTCTATGTGGCACTTGCTCCTCTTTCTTTAAGACAACTAGTATGGTTACATACCTCATTCTGAGTTGAATTATGTACTTTAATGCTCTGTATGTGAAAGCCACAAAGCTATGTATCAATAACTTTCATCTCTAAAACAGAAAATAGAATAACTCATGCTATACAGCATGGCTTTTAGTCTTAGTGGCATTTAGTTCCTGGACATTAAGAATGTCACTGAAGTGATGCTGGTTTTTCGGAGCAAAAAACTGTTACTGAAGTTTTAAAACTGGTACATGAAAAATGTTACAGGTCAAAATCAAAGTAGCTTCCCATTCTTGCTTTTTGACATGATGATGTGGACTTCTTCTTTCTCAGATAAGGGAGGTATTCTCACATATTGATATGGACCAGCTGCTGGGGCCTGAGTGGGACCTTTACCTTATGACCATCATCACCTTGCTTCTGGGAACAATTATAGGTTACAGACAAAGGCAACATCAGGCAATTCCCAGACCGGCACGACTGCGGCCAGCTGTGCCTCAACAAGAACCACCACCAGAGCATCAACCACCACAACAGCAACAAGAGCCTCAGTGAAAGAACTGGATTTTTCCAAAAGGAACAATTTTTGTTGTGATTTAGGACTTCGGCTCAACGGTCCCTCCCCCAAAAGAAGTGCAAAGAAGTTTAAAAAAAAAAAAAAAGTCTGAAAGCTGCTTAGAATGATGCCTTTTTTTCAGGGATAAGAAAATTCTTTTGAAACTGATTTGAATGTTATTTCAGTGCCAATGGAATAACACTATGGCTTTTTTTTTTTTCATGGAAACACAAGTGTGCTACTAAAAAAATGTTGCCTGCTGTATCTAGTTCCTCTTTATTCAGAGCCCTTTTCATCATCTCCTCATGAGAGCAGAAGGCTAGCATTGGAAAGTTGTTGGTTTTTTTTTAATCTGCCTGATAGCAGCTGCCCTATATTAAAGTAATAACAATAACAGTTTTATGGCCAATTTAAGTCCGAGAAGCTGAACTATATTTAAAGTCTAAAAAGACTATAGCTGTAGGGACTTAACATTCTGATCTGCATCCCAAGTATTTGTACAATCCTTATTTCACTATTTCTTTATATTTCTTACACTTTGGTCTTTTATGCTGCCTTGGATGGTTTAACGTGGATTATATACTCTCTAAAACTAAGCCAGCAAACATGCCACTCTCCATTTGTGCTTTTTTGTTTTGAATATTTTCCTTCAGTCCCCTTTCTCGAGACAGTTCTCAGCAGACAGTATGTAGCCCAGGAGGCGGATTGTGACAAACTGGGTCTGTAAAGCTCATCAGTTGAAAACTATCCACACAGTGCTCAGATCTCGCATCCTTCTAAAACGTTTTTGGAGCCTGTGTCACCTTGCAATAATTTGTGGCATAAAAACAAATTTGTAGTGTTCCTAAATTATTTAAACTTACTCTTACAAAGAGGCTGAGCCTAGATTGCAGAAAGCACCAGTATTACTGTGGACACTGAAGAAAGGACAGAGCCAGAAATCTCAATACATTAGCGTACCTTTTGTTTTGCTTTTTGAGGTGGAAGTTCTGTATTTAATTTTCATCAATGCTGTAAGTGATCTGCACTGCAAGGAGGTCTTCATGCAGCAGGAAAGTGTATGGTATCTCATGCATGCATCTGTTAGGGGCCCTCTTGTCGATGCATTAAAGATGCATGCTCTCTACAAAAGGTCATGGGCTTATGCCAGTGGTGTTACTCCGAAGTTTGGCTGACTCATAAAAAATTGGAAATTAGATTACAGCAGTGCTCTGGTAGTTGTCAACCTCTCTTGTACCTGGCATACATGAGACAGTCAAAATAACACCTCTGGCTGTGACATCTTGAGGATCCCTTGTAACAAGAAAATCCAAAAGGAAGAAGGTTAATGTTTTATGGCTTCTCGATACCACCAGGTCAGTGCAAAGGCCTTTTAATGAGTGTAAAGAATTTGACCTGTGGACTCATATTTTTAGACTACAAGAGGAATCTTCACAATTTTCATTGAACTACGTTTTTAGGGGTTGGGGCTGGGAGGCAGCGGGGCAGTAGCTTAGAGACAAGAAATGCAGAAGTTTCTGTTTGTATTTATCACTGGCAGTTAAGTATTTGTTTCTGTTAGCATTAAACTCTCTGATTATACTGTCTTAAAGCTGAATGAAACTTGAATGAGGAGGCATTAGCCGCTTTCTGACAAAAGCTGTTGTGTGTTTAAAGGGTTAAGGGCTTCCTTTCATGCAAATTTTTTTCCAGTGGATTGGCAGCAACATATCAATACTCTTTATTTAGAATTGAGATTTTGGTATGTTTTCATACTTAATACATGTGTAAGGAGACCATTGCACAATGTATCTATAGTTTGGGAAAGAAGATAATCAATTCACTCTTTTGTGAATTGAAATGTCGTGGGTGACTAGTATTAAAGTACAGGTAGAACTTCTCAGTACTTCGGAATACTTATGCTGGTTCTTTGAAGACAAATCTTTTGTTTTAGTTTGGAGGGTTGCAGCATGTGATAGAGGAACGTCTTGTTCAGTCTTAATCATCATTAGCAGATGGAACAGTATTGAACTTAAATGTAGTGTCTAAAATGTACAGCACTCCCCCAGCTGCGTTTCTAAGATATCTGTGACTTCTGAACACTCCCTCTGAAGTATTTTTGCCTCTGTCACTTAATAGCTCTTTTTAGCTTGGCATGAATAAATTAATGATTATATGGAAGGTGTTTTTCAGTTAAATACCATTGGTTCATTGGTATTGTTCTCTTAGGATGTTTAACAATTTTGTTACTGCGTTATTAAAATGTTTTGGTGGTTTGACCTAGTGGAACTAAATTCTAAAAGCTCTATCCTATTTGCATGAGAACCTCTCATCGTTGCTGCTATGTGACAGTCTTACAGCTGGCTTTCACTGAACCTGATGCATTTTTACATCCAAGAAATCGGCAGAAGAAAACGATTGAAGATCAGCAAGTTATTTCACTTTAAAGAACTGCTTTTTGAAGAAGCAGTAAGGAAGTCTTTCTCCTGGTTTTTTCCCTTCCACCAACCTACTACCACTAACTTGTTTAGATGACATTCATTTGAATTAAGTGGTAGTAGTAAAAAGGTACTTACCATAAGTAATGGCGAGTCAACTCAGGGATTAAAGAAATGAATAAATTTTCTAAATCAGTTGTCTTCAACAGGAGCTAAGTTTTTATGACAATCCCTTGCTGCTCTGTTCTGGAATTTGCATTTTGAAGGAAGGACATTTAACTCTTACTAGCAATAGTTTTTTCTTATGCACTCAGTTTATCAAGCCGCTTTTTTCCTAAAGGAGCTGGGTTGCCCAGTTTACTACAGTGAAGTACTAGTCCCTTTTGGAAGCACACAGGTGGTCTTACAGTTTATATGCAGGGATATTTTAGAAGGGAAGCTTGATTTAAGAGAAGCCTTTCTAGATATGTTCAGTGTGCTTTGAATGGAAAAATTGTATTGTTTTTAATACTGTAGGCCAGAGCCTGCCTGTCCGACCTTCCCGGACACACGCGCTTCTCTCCCTGCCCAGATTGTCAGTGGGAGTTTCACATGTAGGAAAACTGTAGAAAGACATGGGGGAAAGCATTGTTCTGCATCTCAAATGATTAATCAAACGCACTAGCTGTTCTTCTTAGTTGAAAGAAATGCTGAACTGCTGAGAAAATGGGATCCTAGTTCATCACTCTCACACTTGTCCCAGAGCTGTCTGTTGAAATAATTTTCCTTGCTTTATATTGTCTATCATGGGACAGTGTAATAGAAGATAAGGCCTTTGATATAAACATCCCAATGAGACTCTTATGAGACAGTCTTTCTTACTTTTTAGTCATCTCCATAATAAGTCAGCTGCTCTTAATAAATGAAAGAAAAAAACACCACCAAAAACTGTCAAATGTTACTCTCTTTGGAGAACATGACAACATGGGTTGTGAAAGGACTTTTAAGACTATGCATTATCTAGTTTCCACCTATTATATGCTAGTTTTGGCCTATAAAAGGGGAATACACTCACCTTTGCAAGTTGCTTCCTTTTTAGATAGGCAACAGTGAACTGAAATTCTATTTTTGTTTCAGAGAATATTAAACTAAGAATATTTAGTTTGATTTGTTGGGGGGGAACCCTTTGTTTTTATCAGCTGCAGTTCTTTAAAGGGCCTTGTAGGAGTTTTGTAAATTTATTTTGTATTTAAAATCAGTATAAAGGCTGGTCAAATGTAATATAAATATGTAAACAAATTCTGTTAATAGAAAGATGTACAGATTCATTTTCTACTGTATCTTTAATCTTGTGAAATAAAGATACCACCTGTGTAGTTACCCTCAGTGTCCACAGTGGTTATGGTGACGGAGGATGTCAAGTGCTAGTCTACGCGCTGATGCGTGCCGCTGCTGAACGCATCCCTTCCCATAAGGCTACTCACACTTCTTTCACATCTATATTCCTCTTCAAAACATAAATCTGTTCATTTAGGAGGGACATAAAGAGAAATAGAAAATTACACATTGTATCTTCAGCTGTCCTAGGAACTTGCCTTCTGTGCGTGTGTGTACGCGTGACCCTTCAGCATACGCATCTGCCACGCGCAGTGTGGCTGCTACACCCGCTGTGTGATTCAAGAGGAGTGACCAGTAACTTTAGGATTACTGTTGCATTTTCAGCACTAATACGGGGAAACTACAGTGGCTGGAAACATACTGGGGGAGGGACTCCTTCAAGCTGACAAGTTTGCTTGCTTCTCAGGCCTTTTCCCACCATCCCTTCAGGCTCCACCAGTTTCCCACCTTTTCCCACCATCCATTCAGGCTCCACCAGTTGAGACTCTTAAGTCCTTCCTCATGAATGTGTCACGTTGGTTTGCTTTCCAGTGTGCTTATTCATTTGGAAGAAAGCAAATAGAGAGAAGGACAGTAAGGAGAGTGCGGGAACAATGGTGACAGCAACGGAAGGCATCAGTAGGCAAACCCTCAGCCATCAGCTCGAGTTACGTAGCTTGCTGAAGTACCCGGAGGCTTCCCACATGGTCTGCTGCTGCTGGTGGCACTTGTTACAGGTAGGAAACAGCTGCTCGTACTAAAACCAGCTTGAGTCTGGGTGGTGTAGCTCCAAGCCAGGTGAGCTTGTCACTTACTTCTAAAAGAGCCCATGGCTTGAGACGCGATTGCTGATGGAATTGCGTGAGGTGGGGTGAGGAGTGTAGGCACCTTATTTTACTTGTAGCCTGTTGTCAGTAAGGAGTTGTTTCCTGTGGTGGGAAGTATGTTTGCAGATACAAGGAGGCATTGGATATTCAGTGGTGACTTGGATTTGATAAAAAATATTTTAGGTCTCAAAGATAAGGAAAGAACTAAGTTCCACACCTTCAGCCACTGTCACATCACGGGAACATGTGTGCGTACACCTACATGTACACGTGTGTGTGTGCGTATACGCGCATCTATATTGAGAGAGAAAGTTTGGTTGCAGGAGCTTCAGAAACTTGCTTATCAAAATGCAGTAATTCAGCGGTCTGTCTCACATATTTGTAGAGCAAAAGTCCAAAACTAAAAATCCCTGTAGATTCTGTAAAGACCCAGTAAAGAATTACCTTCCCTGGACTGTTAAAGCTTTTTTAATGTGTATATCCATCAATCTACTGTCATAGTAGTGTGTCTTACAATATCT